TTAGAAACATCCATGAGAGAGAAACATCGATCAGCTGCCTCCTGCACACCCCCTACTGGGGATGTGCCCGAAACCAAGGTACATGCCCTTGGCTGGAATCGAACCTGGAAGCCTTCAGTCCACAGGCCGACGCTCTAGCCACTAAGCCAAACTGGTCAGGGCCTATGACTTCTTTTAAAAGACTTTTAATTGATTTTGAGAGAGAGAGAGAGAGAGAGAGAGAGAGAGAGGAAGGGAGAAGGAGAGGGAAAGAGTGAACCATCAATGTGAGCAAGCATCAGTGGGCTGCCTCCTGCACGCCCCCTATCGGTGGCCAAGCCTGAAACGCCAGCCCATGTGCCCTGACTGGAAATCCAAGAGGCAACCTTTCCACGCCGGGGAGATGCCCAACCAACTGGCCCGCCAGCCAGGGTTCATTTGTGACTTCTTAATGGCCGATTCCATCCTACTATCTTGAATTCGCCCCCTCATGAATCTGTAGTGTGAAAAACACCCATCTAGGGCAGATGCCTCCCTTGGACTTAAAAAAAAAAAATAAGTCCTGCCCTAGCTGGTTTGGCTCAGTGGATCCCGCGGCCTGACCTCCGGTGGCACTACCGGCTAACGGAGCCGACCTTCATCTCGAGCCCCGACGGTGGCCGTGCGCGGGGCGGGGCGTTTGCGCGTGACGTCACTGCATCCTCCCCACTTTACAGGTGAGTAAACTGAGCCGGGAGCAGCGGCGGCCGGGGACCCAGGTCTGCACGTGCCAGCGCCAGTCCTTACCGACGGGGCTGGGGGTTCCAGGCCCCTATTTGCAGGCGGGGGGAACTCCCTTCCCCGGGTCCCGGGGGCCTGGAGTCTCCCAGCTGGGCCCTGGTCCGGGCTCCTGCAGGAGGCAACCCATCCATGTGTTTCTCCCACATGGATATTTCTGTATTTCCCTCTCTCTCTCTTCCACTCTTACAAACCAATGGAAAAATATCGAGTGAGGATTAAAAAAATAAAAAATCCTCACCCGAAGATATGTTTTTCATTGATCCTAGAGAGCATCTGTTACCTCCTGTGTATGCCCCGACCAGGGATCAAAACCTGGGCATGTGCCGGGAGAGGGGACGGAAGCCCAGACCCTTCCACACCAGGGAGGGCGCTCTAACCAGTTGGCCACACGGCCAGGGCGCTGCACCAGGTTTTGGCGAGGCTGCCACTTATTAGTACTGGGGAGCGGGTAGGAGCGGGCACAGCCCTCTGTGTCGCAGACAGCTAGCCCCCCCACCCCCTGCAGGGTTCACGCTGTGCTCCCGGGAGGGCTGGCAACGCTCCCAGGGCTTGGCGGCTCCGGGCGAGCGGGAGGAGGAGAGGCGGGCGGAGCTGCAGCGGGCGCGGGATGAGCCCCCGCTTCTCCAGG